TCGGCAAAGTTATCGATAAAGCATACGGGGGCCGGGGGGCGGCGGCGGCGGCGGCGGCGGCCGTGCGCTCAGCACCCGCCGGGCCGGCGGCGGTCTGGACTCCGGGTCAGCGTGCTGCGATCCGCGCCGCGGCCCGCCAGCTTTCTCTTTTATCGCCGGCCCACTACAAAAACAAATGCGCTGTTTGAGATTCTCGTAAAAACGGGCGGCGCCGCCTGGTAAATCTCTTCTGCTTTGCCGGGCTCCGACAAATACCACGGTGGGTGGAGACGGCACTTACCAGAAGCATTTCAGGCACGATTCGTTAAGGCTCCTCCCAGACACTGACAAAACGTTTGTTTACACGATGGGGCTCTTCATTTCAGTGTTTTGATCGGGATTGAAGGCAGATCTGCAGCACGCACTCGATAATGCTTGCCATTTATTACATAGCTTTAGATGAGGAGTACACGAATATACATGTTGATATACGGGTGGTCAGCTCGATTAATGCTAATTTAGTCAACACCCCCTAAGCGAGTATATGGCGTAAGTACGGATCATTTGGTGCCCCGTACATGTGCCACACAGTGCTGGCGTGCCCATCAATTGTGTTCAAAAGCCTACAGGCTCGAAATCCGGAACGTTTAACATCACCCTCCGCGTCATGCACAAGGACGAACCGGAACACGCTACTTTTCAACTGTACAGCTCAACAACACGGCGTGTGATGATCACGAGGACTCGAAAATTTGGTACTGCCGGGTGTCGACTGCGGTTTGTTTATTCTGTCAAACTACACGTGCAAGTAACATCGAATGGGAGATAGACAGAATGTGGTGAAACGATATTATTGTCATGGGGCGGGGGGGCAACTGTCTAGCTAAAACAACGAATAATTATTTGGTGAGTGGTGCATCAATATGCCATTTCCGACCATGTTAACGCGGTTCTTCAATCAACAGTCCATCAAAAGTTATTGATAGGACGAAAGAAACGGATCTTCGTCCGGGCGCAGCCAGTAACGCTCGTTCAAGACTCGGCTGGCTCTTGGATTTGTAAGAGAGAAGCTTGTTCTATTTTTGGAAGCCTTTAGCTCTCATACATGTTGTACAGTGCAGGAATTTTCATATTTCGCAAAGATATGCTGTCTTGAATGAAGCATGTGTACACAGGCATCTCGCGGATGCAAGAAAGTAACTGGCGTTGTGGACAGCGAAGTCACGCAGTTTGCTATCAGCTTTTATACATCGATTGAAGAATGTACTGAATACTTAAACACGTCAACTTTGCGCTTGCGCTTGCTACCTATTGCTTGTTTGGTTACCTTCGCGTTACCTTGTTTGGTTTCCGATACGCATTACTATTTTTCGGTACAACAAATATGCTTAAATATTTGGTTCACATAGCTATCACTCATGTTGCATCGATCAGCATACTTAACATTTGCAAGGTACCCTCAAAATTTGTGTGACTAGATCAGTACGTCATTTTGTGAGCGAGGCCGTAGACTGAATGTGTCTTGTTTCAATCAGGTACGGGAAAAGGTCAGCTGGGGTGGCATGAACCGGTCGGGCCCCCACACACGTTTCGTCTGACATGGATGTGGTATGCGCCCACTGACCTCAGCCTTGTGTGGCGTTGGGCGACAGACAGCCAAATTGCTTCAGGCCTAGGCCGTGTTATCTTTAAGGTGTTTGCGTGCAAGCAGTATGATCAGGTTCGTTCGCTTGCAAGACTATTGCCCTCTATTTGGCGAAGAAAATTGTGTAAGATTGGTAACATGTGGAAAACTGGCGCAAATGAAGACAGGAACGTGGAAACCGGACTCACGCCCAGACAACCCAAGGTCGCAGTGACGCGAAATCAACACGATTTAACCCGGAAAAAGGGGAAGTCGGAACAGCACCAATGTGCTTCAACAGCGTGCAGCACGCCACGTGCAACGCGCGAGCCCTGGAAACACAGGTTTTGACGTGTTTGGGGATTGACGTGAGATTTCGGCAAATCCTTTGTTAAAGACAGAATAGTCAGCTGAACCGTACAGCCGAATAGACCGCTTCTTAAATCAGTTCGACAGCCCAGCACTGCTCGGTCCGTGGGGGCCCCAGTTAACGACCAGGCTTTAAAAAAACGATCATCAGTTTACCTCGCGGGGTTCAAAACAGATAAGGCAAGTTACGCATTGTGCCGACATGAAGCATGATCATCTGTAACCATCATCCACCTGAAATATTTGCTTTTTAGTCCCTGCTTTGGTCACGATCAGTGTAAAAGTAAATCAGTCGAAATTTGTTAGTTTCGACAGATGGTATGCCAGCCAATGCCAGAGCCAACACTAGTCAATTTTTAAGCAATATCCTTCGTGCGCGTGAACGCTGAATATATTAATGCCTTTGTTTAATCCTGATGAAGCATCTATGTTACCAAAGCATTGACGACACAAAGCGATAGAAGTGTTCCTTAGACGTGTTCCTTGGACGTGAATAGAAGTGTTCCACTCACAAGATGATGAGTCTGTCCTCTCATGCAATCATAAAACTAGTATATAGATAAACATAATATCACATCATAATGGAAATGGCAACTTATTTTCATAGCGGTATGACCAAAATCTTAGGATTGCAGACAGTTGCTAGGACGATATTGTATTAACGCGTAATAATGGGGCGATGAAAAAGAGCTACATCCACGTCAACGCGCGCGTTCCAAACGCGGTTCGCAACGGTTGAGATGAGACATAAGGGACGCTCATTTGTATTTGTACCCTGAGCTACAAAACACAGCAATTTCCTAATCATATATACAGTCCGTGCGACATCACAGCTGCTGCCACGACAGCGGTTGCGCACAAGTTGTTCCCATTTTTGGGCTGGGCCGGACGCTGGAGTGGCCAGCTGACGCGCGGTACCGGAAGTACGTCAGTTCCGTCGTCACGGCTTGACGTCCGTGACTTCCGAGACATGGTCCAAACGGACCGGCAGCCTGCGTCCAATGTAATAATAACGGACCGATGGTACTGCGCATCGGATGAAACAAGCTGTGATAGAGTTCAGTCCTCTCTCCTCCCCTCCTCTTCCCCATGCGTCCTTCTCTTCCTCTCTAGAGGATGCATTGGAGTCCAGTCGTCTCTCCTCCTCCCCTTGGCCCCGTCCGTCCTTCTCTTCCTCTCTATATGCTGTAATGGGGTCCATTTCTCTCTCCTCCTCTGCTTCGCCTCATCCGTCCTTCTCTCCCTCCCTTCCTGTCTCTGTCTCCCCACGTTTTCTGTGAAGGTCAAAGAATTACGCCCCCTCCCGATTGGAAGAGAAAAACGAGTTTATGGAGTTCAAGTCCAAGCTGTTCGGATCCTACACAGTTTTGAAGTTGTCAAGATCTGGCAGGTCTCATCGTTTGATGACCGAACGTGAAGAGAGCTTCTGCCTAGTGAAGGTGAAATCAAGGCAGCAGCAGCGTTCGTTCAACTGATTTCAGTCAGCTTCTTCGGCAATAGATTATACATTGCCGACGGAGGCCACGACCATTTCTGTTCGGAAGAAAAGTATTCATAACTAAAAGGTCCGGTTAGTTTTACTCATCAAAGCAGCATGCGTCACATTTCATTTCGTGTGACTATTATCACGTGAAGTCGGTCTGGCGACGATGTCTGATGTCTGTCTGGATGTCTGATGTCTGTCTGGATGTCTGGTGTCCCGACCTGAGGGATGTCGTCCTGGAATGCCCTTCTCAAGCCATGACTTCGAAGGCAGAAGGTCGTCACCTGGGCTTTATGACTCGTGGAACAGCCTTCTCGTTAGGCTAAGTGTGGCTCACAGAAGAGGACGTTCCCACTTTCGAACAATACTATATGTAATTATTACCAATTAGCAGCGCCCCTAATTCAGGTATTCAGGTTAAAGCAAGCTGTTAGTGTTCTCGTCACCGCAATAATTAACAACGGCCGTGAAAAGCTTTGAATGGAACATCATTTGATCGAGTTTGATGCGAAAGACGATGGATTACTGACCCCTTAATGCGAATTCTACAAATATACGAGCACACGTACAAAGAGGGCTACGAAGGAAGCAAAACGGGCGAAGGTATATCATGGTGGTATATTGGCCAAGAAGCATTGAATTGAACGTAGGATAGCTTAACATAAATCATCTTGGGTCTCGTCAGACAAGACTGGCCCCAAACTGAGCAAGGTGTATCGAGGCGGGCTTATGGAAAAGGTATCTGCCATCTAATCTGGTGTCAATAGAGCAAAAACTGAAACAAGAAAAAACGGCGTTAGCGACGAATGACTGTGTAGTGATGGAATTAGCGTTGCTACCGTAAATCGCCGACACGTGCTGTTGAAACGTTAAAAGGGCCTTTTTTAGCCAGATTTGTGAGAGCCAGAAGATAAATTCAAAGGCCACAGTAAGTATTGAAGCTTCTACATTTTAAAATAGTGCACCCCAAGCTCCTAGGCCAATATGTTCGCAACGGCCAAAGCGCGGGCACCAGTACCCGGTCATAGACAGCTCTGAAGCGATGATGACCGGCCGTTCCTTCACTCCCCACACCACTCACGCACGCCCAGGCGCCTTCCTCGAACATCTATCTCGGCTTAACTCACGGCCAGCCGGCGCCGCGCAAGACAAATGAGGGTGATAATAGGAGCGACGCACTAACTGACGCCGTAATCGGGCGCATTATTCCCCACTTAACCCCTGGCCGGGTGCGACGTGTCCGGTGCATGCCATCAGCGCAGCCCAGGTTTCTCTCAGCGGCGCCTCGTGGGCCGTCGTCGTCCCACTTCAGGCGCGCCGCCAGTCGGCTGCCGGACCCGCGCCCGGTCGGCCGCTGACACGCCGCTCGTGCGCCCGCGCCGTCCCGCACCCGCCCGGCCAGACAGGCTGACGCGCCCGTGCCGGCGGGAGCCCGCGCCTCCTGCGACGGACCTGGACGGCTGCCGCCTGCAGCGCCGCGGGAGACTGCACCCGAGACGTTAGGCTGAGGTCGCGAGGTGACTGACGTCGGCGTCTCGACCGCAGGGTTGTGCGCGGTGCGACGCTCGAAACGCGTGACTGTCGAGGTGTCAGCTGCGAGTGGCACCACCTCGTCGACCTGAGGCCGGCGACATGTTCAACTTGCACAGCCTAAACGGCGACCGGCTGGAGCGCTACCACGACCTGCACGTGCGGAAGCACCCGCTGCAGGGCCGCTCCTCGCTGCCCATGGATCTATCGGCCATGAAGACGTCCACGTGGACGTACAAGCCGGCCGCGCCGCTACAGCTGATGGCGCCGCCACCCGCACCTCGTGGAGAAGCAGATGCGCTTCCGCCCGGAGAAGGCTCACCGTCGACCCGTGCAGCGGCTGCAGTGGCGCAAGAGCAAGTGGCAGCCGGACCCAGACGAGCCCAGCAGCTACCTCGACCTCAACCGTATCAGCTCCATGACTATCGCCGACGTCAGCCCCAAGTTCGCCGTCAAGCGCATCCTGATGCTGTACGAGAACCAGCAGTACCGGGAGGCGGCCAACTTCGTCAACCGTCTGAGCCACGGCACGTTCAAGGTAATCCTGACGGATCTGCCGGTGGACGTGTTCATCGAGTCGATGCCGGACAGCTTGCCGATCCTGGAGGCGCTCTACGCCAAGGTGTTCCTCTCTGACGGGCTCAACTTCTCGGTGAAGACTCTGAAGCCGGATGCGGTGGTCATGCAGATGGTCAAGTTCTTCGCGCAGCAGGAGGACAGTCTGACGGGCAACATCAAGTGGGAGCTGTGCGGCCCCTTCATCGCCTCTTGCAAGAAGCTGCTGAAGGTGATCGTGCACACCGATCCCAAGATCAAGAAGATGTTGGTGTCGCGGCGTAAGGCGCTGGACAAGGCGGTGGAGGGCATGGGCCACCACGGCATGGTGGGCACCTCCGACGGCTCGCTGATGAATCTGCACGACGCGCTGAAGCTCGAGTTCAAGAAGGTGGTGACGTCGTACAAGGCGGCGCTGGAAAAGCTGGAGGAGCTGAGTTTGTCGACGGCGTCCAAGCAGACGCTGTGCCGCAGCATCAGCCACGGCCCGGCGCCGATCCAGGTGTCGCATCAGCGCCAGCTGAGTATCACTCAGCAGGAGATTCAAGAGAGGCTCATCAAGAACAAGACCATCCTGAATGTGGTGGAGCCGATCCTGGGCAACCACAGCCTGGACATCTTCCTTGGCATCTTGCAGCGCCGCATCGACCACGACAAGGACTGCCTCTTCCATTTCACGCAGCTGAAGAAGGAAGTGAAGGACATGAAGGACGCCTCAGTGGTTGTGCCCATCCTGATGCGCTACGGTCACGGCATCGACCAGGTTAGTCAGTCTCGGGGTACGGGCGTGTATATATGTATATATATATATATATATATATATATATATATATATATATATATTGTGTGTGTGTGTGTGTGTGTGTGTGTGTGTGTGTGTGTGTGGTGTGTGTGTGTGTGTGTGTGTGTGTGTGTGTGTGTGTTGTGTGTGTGTGTGTGTGTGGTGTGTGTGTGTGTGTGTGTGTGTGTGTGTGTGTGTGTGTGTGTGTGTGTGTGTGTGTGTGTGTGTGTGTGTGTGTGTGTGTGTGTGTGTGTGTGTGTGTGTGTGTGTGTGTGTGTGTGTGTGTGTGTGGTGTGTGTGTGTGTGTGTGTGTGTGTGTGTGTGTGTGTGTGTGTGTGTATGCCGGCGTGGCAAAGCTCCCGGAAGGGATATGTTTCAGTGCATTATGTTCTAATCGTGCGGAATGCAGTCGAGCCGTGGGTGTGTGAAATCCGCGGCCAAACACGCCACGTTTCATTCGCCACCTCCGCATACCTCCGTGATAAGGGACGGCACTGTACCTACCGCCCGTAAGAATTGTTTCTAGTTGTTTATCCTTTAAAGGAAAAGCTCGTTTTGCCGAAGATGGCAAGGAACGGTCATAACTTCATAACACCACGTCAAGCTGTCTTCACCTGAGCTGCGCGCCCCCGTGACATCGCCAGCCACGCATCCCGCCGTGCGCGTGGACCACATTCTGACCGCATTCCGCCACACCCGGTGTGGCTTGAGGAGCGGCACGTGACCGGCAGTCGCAGAGGTCAGGGCGGCACGTGACCTGCGGTGGCGCAGGTCAGCGCAGAGGCCTTGCTCGCGGACAGCGGGACCTCCTGTCAGTGGCCGGGCCCCGGCGCGATTCGGCTGGCTGCAGGACAGGCCACGTCCACTTGTGACGGGGAGTCTCGGATTGTTACCCTAAGTGATGCTTTGATCACGCCGGTACTGATGACGACTGGTACTGGATTTGGTCACACCGGTACTGATAATGGCTGGTACCGGCTTAGCTTCCCGACTTTACGGAGCATGCATTTAGCCGCCTTTGAGCTGTGGATTCGCCAGGTAGTTACGTTGTATGTGCTACGACTCAGGATAAACAAGATGGCTAGCGTGGCCTGCTGTCAATGGAATTAATGCAGGCAGAAGTTTTGTCGGTTATGGTCATGTGGCATAGGACGTCTGATGGCAGGGGATATGCCAACTAGACGTTAACTGCGACGGGACAATAGGAACTGAGAAGCGTTGTCCTGCGCCAAATTATTGAACAATTGCGTCAGTAGGAAGAACACCACGTTTTTGTGCTTTCAGCTGTCCATGTGTCTCGTATGTAGATTTTCATTTGGAGTGGCTTGGTTGACTCGCAAACCGCAATTTTCCACAGCTTTAATCGGTTTTGTCGGCGTTGCCTATTTGAAAAAATGATCACCGTTATTGTGTACGTTAGGAAGCAGTACATTGTCCACAATTTCGACTGTATTACATACCATCCTCGTTAAATTTGTCTGCGAATTGCACGAAACTTTTCGAATGTCGGGGGCCCTACGAATCTTAGTTGTCGAACAAAAATGTGTAATTATCGTCACATCATCATCGTGCGACCATGAAAGCACTGAAACAGGCTTATTTGTTGTTGATACTCGCAGGCAAAATGCAGACGAGCTTGTCGTAATGACTGGACAGTAATGGCCAATAAAGTTGTGAAGTGCCAAGTGACCCGCCTTACATGCCATAAACCTCACCTATAGTAAAAGTAGGCTGAGTGAAATCAAGCAGCAGAACATTCACCTTGCTTGATCGCCTTGCTGGAATGCAGCGCTCGATGACTCCTCGATAATAATAATTTACTCTCTAGCTTTTCACTGCGATCAATTAAAGTTGCCAACATTGGGTTTCTCTTGTCGCATGAACATATTGACTGTGTCTTACAGTTCGGACTATTCTTGACCACAGTGATGCGCAAATTGAGGTCCAGAATGAACGCCGCGAACACCTTGTTTTGGCTCGTCAATGGATCTGCCGACGGCTCGAGCCCGTTATGATCTCGGTTTATCGGTTTAAGGGTAAAAATTGTACTCTTGCCACAAGTGGTAACAGTGAAGGCTTAGCAGCTCCGAGTGACGTATGTTCTATATATGTCATCAAACACGTCACTTTATTTAGTGGCATTCATGATGCATGCGTGACAGCGTCACTTCCCACGCGTTCGTCTTGAAGTTCACTTTAGAAGCAGCGCCTTCCGATCGAGTGAGCAGATGACGTCACGTCTCTGAGCGCAAGTTTTTTTCTCTCCTCCGCTCGTGACATTCTCCGCCGTCGATCGCCCAGCGGCGGGAGTCGCCATCCTTTGAGACGGCGGCGCCGGGGGCGGCCGGGCGGCGGTGGCGGCCGTGCGGCGCCGGGTGCCGCCCGCCGTGCCGCCGCCTTTGTATTCACGATGACAGACGGGCCGGTGACCCAGTGGCATGTGGGCCACCACGGCCACCCCCGGCCGGAGACAGGGCTATCGGCGCATCGGGTGCCGCCTCTCGCTGCCGGCAGCGGCCGCCGTCACGGCCAGCACGCAGGCGACGGCGGACGGCAGAGCTCCCGCTGTCACGCTGCGGGCGCGGTGGGAGGTAGGGTGGGGGATGGAGGTCGAGGACCGTGGAAGGGCAAGGGGTTTGCAGTTCTTTCACGGAGTTGTGCGACACTTAGTTGGCTTTAGTTTTGGTTTTCCTGACTATAAAGCTTTAAGATGAATATGGGCGTAACCACACATTAAACAGCGTTTTAACATTAAACGTGATTCCCACTCACACGCGTGCCGAAAACTTGTTCCCGTTACTTACCTGGATGATGTGGAGAATTTAACATTTCCTAGTTTATGACAACTTTGTTGTAAAAAAATTGTCGAGCCTAAGAAAGCTTACTCTAGCTGTTTGGAGCGCAGGCGCAACAAATCACCGAGCCCTTGGCGTGTGAAGATAAGTGAAAAACTACTGTGGTCTCATCGGCCCCTCGGCGCCGTTTTGTATAGCCAGAACGTAACGAAAACAGCAAACTGTCAAAAACTTATGCGGTTCGTCTTGCAGCAAGCCCGATGGCTGTGTCTATGCAGGTCAAGATTTCAGTGAAAACGTACAATGAACATTCTGATTGCCACACTGGACTCAATGGAATCGCGGGCCGGAGCTTTCGTTAAGGTGCTGCGTGTCTTCTCTTTGCCTCGCAGGCTTACTTAAGCATCCGTGCCGATACCGGCACGAAACCTTGAACGAGGCCTCACATTTCACCCACCCCAATCGGCATACAATGCAGCCGGCTGTTTTCATCAGCGGCCGCCAAGGGCGCCGCGTGGGTCAAATCGGTCGGTCCCCTGAATGTAAATAGCCAGTATTACCATCGTAATGGGGCGTTTCCCTATTTATTCACGCAGCGTAATGAATTTTGGACACACGCAGTATGAATGGAATGACCTCCCAGGTGGTAAGATGCGTGTATAGTGGGTCAGAGACCCTGGGCGTCAGCTTAAGGAGGTCGGCCACGCAGGAACTCCGAATGTCAATACGTCTAATTGGGACCCGGGTATCATGGAAACGCCGGCTTTTCTGAGGCGTGCCAAGTCTCGGGCCCTCAGCCTTATAAGGATGTATGGTATGTGATAGCTGCTCGCCGCCATCTGAAGCAGTCAGATGACGTTTGAATTACGGTCGGCGGCGGCCAAATGGCTGTCTGGCCGAGTAGTTGGTGCGCTAGCGTGGCAGGCGGCCGCTGGAGCCGGCGCGCAGCCGCGCGGGTTTTCTCTCTCGTTCTCCTTTAGCTGCCGGAGCTCCGTGGGAGAATCTGTGTCAGTGTCCGGCCCTGGCCGCCGCGGCTAATTAAAATTCAGCTCGCATCTCTGCCTCTTTTCCCGCCTCGTCTCTCTCACCCGCTCGCAACACCCTCTCTCTCCTTCATGCTCCCTCACTCTCTACCGCATGTGGAATGCACGCACCCCAGGCGGGGCGGTGTTGATCTGCAGACGGTGTCTGCCTGCTGTGCACAGCTTACGGCAGGACACAGTTGTCAATTCGGCTCGCTCACCAATCGCCGACCCAGTGACAGAGCTACATTGATTGGCCCACCTCTGTCTGCACCCGAGGTCAGGTATGCGTGCTGCACACCTGACTCCGAGCCGTCGGCCGGCCCCCTCACCCGTGCCCCGGACTGCCTGCGCGGAAGCCTGCTACGGCCGGGTGCAGAAGCCTGGCCGGATCAAGAACAGTGACTGACCGCGGTCAGATTTGGGAACCGGACCCGCTCAGGGGCTGGGAGCGAAGCGCGGCCGTAGGCGGAGGCCTGTTCCACTCGGGGGCAGGTGCTGGCGACGCTCAAGGGTAAGAACGTTATTCATTCGGCGCCCAGGACCGGTTCCGTTTTCTGGGGCAGGAGCCTGCTCCTTTCAGGGGCAGCAGCGAGCTCGATTCAGGGACGGGGACTCGCTCCACTCGGTGGCAAGAGTGTCAGGGCTCCAGTCAGGCAAGCGAACTACCTCCGGTCAGCATCAGCACCTAGCTTTGATCGGGGTCGAAGCCCGGCTTCCCTCGGCGGGCAGCCGGCCTCGCTTGTGGGCGGGAGCCGTGGGAGTTATAGGTGGGAGGTGCCTCGTGGCTGTTATACTCAGGGAGGGAACTGCCTCATGGCTGTTACAACTCAGGGAGGGAGCTGCCTCATGCTGTTACACTTAGGGAGGAAGCTGCCTCATGCTGTTACACTCGGGTAGGGAGCTGCCTCATGGCTGTTACAACTCAGGGAGGGAGCTGCCTCATGCTGTTACACTCAGGGAGGGAGCTGCCTCATGGCTGCTACAACTCAGGGAAGGAGCTGCCTCATGCTGTTACACTCAGGGAGGGAGCCGCCTTATGGCTGTTACAACTCAGGGAGGGAGCTGCCTCATGATGTTACACTCAGGGAGGGAGCTGCCTCATGCTGTTACACTCAGGGAGGGAGCTGCCTCATGGCTGCTACAACTCAGGGAGGGAGCTGCC